AAGCAGAGAAAAACGCTTGCGTTAATGAACTTCTTATCTCACTCAAAATGAGTGGGACAAGAAGTTCTTATCTCACTGGCGTAGATAAAAATTTGTACAATATACGTGTGATAACGCTTTATTAACGTACTTTTGCGATTGCCCAACTCGTGCTACGCATTCGTTGGGCAAATTTCGCATGCGTACGTTAATAAAGCTCTTATCCCACTTATATCGTAAATAACTATTATTTATTGTGCGATTTTAAACGAATTTGTTTTAAAGTGTAGATCTTGATAAACTGTATTTTTATAGCAAAAAATGCCATATTTTGACAAAATACAAGGCGTACTATGTCAGTTTTTGAAAGTAAATTTTTATAAATTTATATTAGCGATATAAAAAAGAAAAATCTATGCCCAGCACTGGATTCACCATCCTTCAAAATGACCCTAAGTACTCCATGAAAAAAACATTGAAATAAAATTAAACTAATAGTAGGGCTGTACAATTTAGTTAAGTTAGCTAAGTTAATTAGCTAGCTTACTGATCAGCTTAGCTAATTTAACAGGTTAACTAAATTAGCTTAGCTAATTAGCTGGAGGCTTAACCGGTTAATCTAGCTTAGCTCAGCTAATTAGGTAACGGCTAACCGGCTAATTTTTTTAAGCTATTTAATGATTTAATTAATTTAAAATCCATTTTTATAAATAAAAATAAAGTGTAAAATATTATTTAACCTAATAAATTACTCTATTATTGTTTGTCATAAAAGCAACATTATTATTATTATTTTTTGAAAATGTACATGAATAAGGAATCATTATGTGGCTTTAAAAAAATTAGTTATTTAACCGGTTAAGCCTCCAGCTAATTAGCTAAGCTAATTTAGTTAACCGGTTAAATTAGCTAGCTAATTAACTTAGCCAACTTTTTGTTAACCCTAACTAATAGTAACATGGTATAAATAAATATTCCTATGCTCAGTTATAACAAATAAAAAACGCAATAGAAACCTAAAACCACAGTGAAACAAAAAATAGAGAATTTAAAATTTTCTCTACAATTGGATTTTAGTCACAAGAATCACGGGCTAGGGTAATACAAGGCCAGAACAAATATAAAAGTGTATTAAAATATCTAAAATTTTGTAGAGAATTTTTGGAATTCTCTATTTTTTGTTTTATTGTTGTTTTAAGTTTCTATTGCTTTTTTTATTTGCATGCACTAAGCAAAAGAATATATATACCAACTATTAGTTTAATTTTATTTCAATGTTTTTCATAAGAAACTAAAAGGTTTCATAAACAATCTTAAAACACGTTAATTTCTACGACTTTTCTAAACTCAACCCCTAAAGCGGGGGAGCAACCCCTTCAAGAATCTTAAATAGCTTAAGGGTTCGTTGGAAAGCGCATTCATTTCTAAATTCAACGTTGTGCTTTGTTTTAATTTCTGTTGATTAACTGCAGAGAAATTTAATTTTAAACATCTAAATAAAGCAAAATAAAAAAGGTTCAACAAAAAATACTTTAGCGAATAAGCTGCTCAAAAGAATTTCTGACATTTTCAAACATGTCCTGTGTCAGCAATCGGCACTCGTTGATAATTCTTTGCTGCAATTCCTGTAGATCTTGTGGTGAAGTTGCATACACTTTTGACTTAAGGTGCCAAAGGAAAAAATCCAGCGGCCTAAGATCGGGAGACCTAGGCGGCCAGTTTTAATTTAGCTACAAAATCGTTCTAACTTAAAAACTTTCAATTAAATTTAGTATAGGGTCGTGTTGAGGGGTGGTGCATAGATTTAAAAAAAATCGTTAATACGAATTTTTAAAAAAAATTAATCTCAAAAACTGACATAGTAGCCCTTGTATTTTGTAAAAATATGGTGATTTTTGCTCCAAAAATACAATTTATTAAGATCTACACTTCGGTTAAAATCGCACAATAAATAAAGATTTGACAGGGATAAGTCGCAAACAAATGGGTAACACTGTATATAAACTTTCTTAATAGCAACTTTTAGATTTTTTACTGTGAAAACGATTTGCATAACTTGGAGTAAAAATGTCTTGTCTGCACCTTTGCAAATTAGCTTTGTTTTTATGGAAAAGACATTATCTAGGCACACGAAAATAAAATAAATTAGCGGCGGTTTAACTTAAAGCGTCTAGACAAACTTTTTTTAACTAAAAGTCTGCCTAGGATCCCACAAAGTTTTATTAAACGAACTGAGGCCCATTACGGTTATCTCCCCCTACATTTTTTTCAATAAACATTTATCTAATTACTTACAACCTAATATAAAGTTTGTCATACTTTTTTTGTTAATGATGATTACAATATCTTTTTATACAGTACCTAGTAGTAAATATATTTATTGGAAAAACCAAAAGGCTGTCGACCGAGGTCTTTCTCAGAAAGACTTTCTATATAATATATAATAAATACAATTTTATTTTACAAACTTTTATGTAACTAAAAAGTCATTTATTGGCGAACTATTTTACAAAAAATACAAAGTTTTGTTTAACATGTATTATAATTCATCACAAGTTTATAAATATTTCAATCCTATCACAGCTTTTTAATTAATTTGGGAGGCTATTAAATAATACCAAACCATCAACAAAATCATTATTTGTTATTTGCACCCTTAATACTCCTATTATTGTAATTATGTACTAAAATTAATTAGTTATTTAAATATGTAGGAAAAATTCCAGCCTTGACTTTAAATATAAATAACTATGTTTTAAAAACCACTTAACATATCAAGCATCATACCTGTTACATTTCAAAATAATTCCTAAAGCTTTATTTTGAAGTAACATTTTATAATAATTCTGAATAGTTTATTTTGAAGTTTTTGTATTTCATTATTATTTATACAAAAAAACACAAAAAGAACACAATAATGAAAATGTGGAGCTCTAATGGCTTTGTGGGTCAATATTTTCGTTAACACATAAAAAAATGTCAAATCTTATTAATTTTGCACGTTTAGGATTTTTCCACTCATGAACATAGACATGAAGACTAAAAACATATTTTTTTGTTGTTTTTTTTAGAAAGTTGAACTCACGGTTTTACTTGGTCATCTCTTATTCTTTTGCGTCTCTCACGTTCTGCTTGTCTTTTAGCTTCGTTGGTCAACTTGTTTCGTGGTTTTGTCATTTTAATTAATTTCCCACTGAAATGAAATATTTTAAATTGGTTACATGTAAGGGACACGACAATGACGAGCACGGTAATGATGATTTTAAGGTTAGAGTGTTTTACAATGTTTAGTCGAAAATGTAATGGAATTTTCAAGTTACCATTTGCTTTTTGTTAATGCAAGACTCCTTTGTATTAATGTAAATATTTTGTATGTCCATAAACTTTAAAATAATACTTACCCCGACAATGACGGACTTAGACGTAACAAGCCGTTTTCGTTTTCATTCGGCGCACGTCACAACTTTATGGTTTGAAATATGACAGGCAGGATATTTCCATATCAGACGTTTGAAAACTTCCGGAATTTTCCGAATGTATCGCGTATTTAAATATGGAATAAGACACATTTTAAGTAGCCACGGCAATGACGCTCATGGGTGTGAACAAAGTTTAAACGGCAAAGAAAATTTAACATTTTAAAATGCAATTTCTGCTTGCATTGTATTATTGTGTATTTTCTTCGTCTGTGTTAGACAGGATATTGCAAGATTTAATTTGTAAATAAATGTAAGAAAATAATATGTTGTCTTCGAATGTGAACAAGGCACGGTAATGATGTTTGCGACACAAAAATTATATTTTTTACTATGCTCGTTTAGACTAAAATAAGTAAGGAATCAAGTAAAAATAGTTAATTAAACTAGACATTAAGTATTTTATTTTCAGGGGGATATAAACTTTTGAAATAAAAAGAAAGAACCGATTGAATTACACTTTTGAAATATCACCCTTATGCAATAATAATTTTACTTGCAATGATAATTTTTTTTCGATTCTACCAAGGAAATATACATTTTTTGAAATTGTATTTAACAAATAATCAACATGAAATTTAAATCAAAAACAACACCAAATTTATTATATCCACTTTTTCAAATTTTTTATTATTAATAAATATGTTTTCATCAAAATCAGTATTAGCGAATGAAATAAACATATATTTGGTTTAACTTAGATTTAAACACATAGTAATATCACAAATATATATATATATATATATATATATATATATATATATATATATATATATATATATATATATATATATATATATATATATATATATATATATATATATTTATAAACTTAATTATGTTGAAAAAAAATATTGTCTTTTTATACAATTTAAACTAAATGTATTCTTTCTTTTTTTTCGCGTCAGCACAAGAATGATAAATTAACCTCACCAAACGATACCCTAATTTAGTATAATTAATCATTTTTTTCTGTATGGCGGATAATCGCAATTGTAGTATTTTTTAATTACAATTTTTTGTCATTTGAATAATTTTAGGAGATGCCTAACATCATTATTTATTAGTTAGTGTTAGATAACATTTTTACATTTTTAAACAAAATTGTTTTGGGGATAATTGATTTCACATTTCAAGTTTGTATAAGATTACCATCTTTTGTAATGACTTCCACTGCCTTACAACCCCAAAAAATACTCAACTTTCTTCAAGCCTTTATTTTTGTAATATATTTAATCTTTAATTTTTATAATATTATTTTCTCACTCAATAAAAACTATAACAGTAGTCAAACCATTACTACTGGTATGATTTTTAAACTAACAACTATTGGGCTTATAAATACAAGGGTTGTTTAAACCGGACTGCTTCTATATAAGTTATAATGATGCTATTTGGTTTAGTTCCGAACGAATCTTGTAAAATGATTTTTTATTCGACCTTAACAAAAAGTGCATTTTCTGTCTGTTTTATGGTGGCGTCATCTATCGAAAGCTTTTAATAAGAGGCAGAAAAATATTACTTTTTCGGCCGCTTTTAATATTGTCTGGGTTACTGATAATTATGTCAATAAATCCATTGGTAAGACATAACAAAAGCAATCTAAAAATAGGAGAAATTTTAAACCGTTTTTATGTGCAACAATAATAATAATTAATAACGTTTTTGTATACATGCCTTTTGTATAGGTATGTTTTTTTCTTTTTGTTATCAGTCCTATTTACATTTTAAGTTAAACATTTTTGTATTATTGTTTTTATTTAAATGTTTATAAACATGCGTCTGTATCACAGTAGGTATACTAGTATCGGAAAAAGGAAGGCGCGGTCCTTCACGCATTCTTGCTGTTATCTAAGATAACTTTGTTGACCTTTATGCAATAATTTTTAATTTAGAGTGTCTAGTATTAATTTTTTTATTTAAGATTTTATTAAACATATTATTTTACAATTCAAAACAAAATAGTATTAATTGATTTAGCTGGTACTGAAGTTTGTAAAACACTGCCCCCCTTAGAAATTACTTCCACTTTAGCAGACTCCGAACCCCTAAAAAATACTTAACTATATTTAAACCTTCAACTTTATACTTTCTTACTCATTATAAACTATAACAGCAGTCAACCCGTCAGGTCTTAGTGCCGCCACGCTTTTTAAATTAGCCGTCAAATTGTTTTGAACTTCTAATACAACGGAATCGGGCCTAAGGAATTTTGAAAAATGACCCATGGCATAATACATGGGTTGTTTGTAAAATTCTCCAGTCGAATTGTTTACTATTATGGGGGAGTCGAGAGGATTAAGTATCACATGTGGACCACCTTCTTGATTCAAAACCAAATTAAAGTCCATCCATCCGCCTGCTCCATATTCAAAGTCCTAAAAAGATTTTTATCCGAAATCGGCAGTAAAGTAGAACTTTACTGCCGATTTAATACGAGGATTGTATGCAACCCATTATACATTTTAAGATGTGTCTACTGCTACTCAGCAGCAACTAAATAATATCTTTAAAATACTTTAGTAACTACTCTTCATATTAAAACACACTTTATTAGGCTAGCTTACTCGATAAGCGCATTATAGGAATATTTCGAGATAAAAACACAAAATGTTTTCGCTCTCACTCATTTTTCAAAAATAGAAACTACTCGTACAATAAATAATAATTCGGGAATTACCGAACAGTCCGCTTATACACATATAACAAATGAGGCCTGTCATAGCAAAACCGACAATCTCCACTTTTGGTCAAAAATTAAATTTTTGGCCGAGACTGTACTTCAATCAATTATCTATTAGATGATAAAGTTAATTTGCTGCAAAAGGAGCTAAATCCTGCCTAAAATCCTATTTTAAAAATGACATTTAGTGCAAAGTCGACAATCTCTACTGATAGATTTGCAGCAAAGTATACACTGTTTAAAATATCTGCGGTGTAAAGAGTAATCTTAATCTTAATAAGTATACTATAGTCCTTTGCTTTGGTGTGACACTACAAGTTGTTCGATACTAAAGAGACCTTCAATACTTAAAGTATTTTAAGTTAGTGGAACGCACTAAAAACATTATCTCTAGCGAGTTGAAGTTGAAATAATACCACTGGTAATATACTAGTACTGCGTCAAGGAACTTCCTGTTTCCTTTTTCTTTCCTTTTTTCTGTGTAGTATGATTTAATTTGACCACTAACACATAATATTTAACACTGAAAAGGAGTTCAATTTACACCAGGTAAAATTTATTTTAATACTGTGTGAAAGTTAAATTAACACTATTTTAGTATTTAAATTAACACCGGACCAACGAACCACATTTAACACCATTTTGGTTTGTATCGATATAGACCGTATGGTGTTAATTTGGTGTTAAAATGGTCATGAAATTTTGAACAGTGTACAATCTCCAATTCCACCATTAAAAATTAGTAATTTGTGTCACCTGATATCCTAACATTTGATGTTATAACCTATTTTAGAGATTTAATTTTGTGTTTTTTACTTGTACATACTGTTAAGTTCTATGGCAGTAAATTGCACTTAAAAATATATTTAAAATAGGCATATATACGTTTCATATCAAAGTCAGCAATCTCCAATTTAAAATTATAGATTTCACCTATACTATGCATCCTGGAGACCTTGTAGTTTGCTACTAGACTAACAACAACAATATTTCAATATAATATACAAAAATATATAAAAATACAAACAAATCTAGAATTTAAAATACCAAAATCAATTATCTCAATTTACTCAGTTTTAGTCTGACAGGAGATTGTTGACTTTGCTCTGACAGGCCTCAAATATGCGTAAGCCAACTTGCATCTATTTCCCTCTCGCAGTTGACATATAGTTAGTTTTTCTTCTTCTAGCCACAATAGGTACATAAGGTAAATAAGTGACCAAAAAAAAGTGTAATCTATAACGTGGGCTTTTAAATAATAAATATGAAAAGTTTCCTAATTTTAACGATTTTTACTAAAAAATTCCCTTTTCCCTTTTTGATACCAAAATTCCCTAAAAAGGGAAAATTCCCTACAGTTGGAATCTGATTTTGCTAAACAATTTAATACATATAAACATACTCACAGATATTATACTTTTAATATAACTCTGTCCTCTTTCCCAGCTACCCAATTTTACTGGTGCTCCTTAAAACCACAATATTAATAAATGTTAAAATAAAACAAAATAAATATTACCATTGCAAGCTTCAGTTCCCAATAAAAACAAATCCTTTTTACTAGATTTGGCGAGTTCAAGCACTGAATTTGGCGCAAAAGCATCCCAATACCAATGAACACCTACACCATCAATGTATTTACCGCTATCATCATCCTCCCATACCTACAATTTTTTTATACAGGGTGTACCAGAATATTTATTTGGAAATATCTGCTACGTTTATCAGAAAGAAAAAAGTGAGGTTAAACCCGTCTGTCAAAGTCGGTTAAATTAACAAATTGGTGGCCTTTTTTCTTCTCATTAAGTGGTGAAAACAGAAAAACAATTGAACGTCGGGTTTCCAAAATATTCACAAAAATAGCATTTTTCCAAATGGGACACCCTTTATATTTTTACATATTTTAAAAGACAATTTAATTTGGAATAAAAAATTATTATTGCATAACTACCCTAAAATTAAAAATAAATAATTAATAAGCACTTGAACTTTGCAAGTAATTTTGTGTTCCAAATTAATTTGTCTTTCAAAATAGGTAAAAATATACAGGGTGCTTCGTTAAACAAACTGTTATTTTAGTATATATTTCACCATTTTAATCTGAAGAAAAAATGCCACCAATTTGTTAATTTAACCGACTTTGTAGCTCCAATTTCCAATTTCACATCTAAAAGACGGGTTTAACCTTACTTTTTTTCCAATCTTACTTTTGTCAAACGGTTTTAACTTAACTTTTTTTCCTATTAAACCGACTTTGTAGCTCCAATAATAACGAAGTTATAAATGATGTGCAGATAAATTTGGTTACCCTGTATATAAGTTTGCAATACTATACCTTTTCTACTCTAATTAAATAGTTTTTAAAAATAATTAAATAAAATCTGACATTTGGTCATTATTATAATAATTTAATTAAAACTATAATAGTCGTCCCTCCAATACTATCATAAAATCTAACAGCTGTCAGACAGTCCTAACCTTACTACCTTTCAATTTAAAACACAGCGAATAATGAAATCTGCCAATTACTGACGCTTAACAACGGGAATATTGAGTTCATTATTCCCGTTGGGGTTATAATGGTTACCAATACACGAAAACAAAAACCAATAATGTCAATATTAGTAAATGGGAGTAGAAAAACCTTTTAAATACACGGTGTGCCTGAACGAAGTTTAAGTCACATAAAAATGCCGCCAAAAACTGATTGCAGTTTCTTGTTCGGGACCTTTTGGTGACTTTAAAATGATATTTACCAAAATCCTAGCTGCTCCTCTTTTCGAAATTTTTTGAAAATTCATGATTTTTTTTTTGAATTTTTAATTATCTTAAAGTGTACTTTTGACAGAGTACACATTTATACACCGATTTTTATAATATTGGAGTATATTGTTAAGGAGTTTTGGAGAATACTTTTTTATACTGTGCACATCATTTAATATATACAGGGTTAGCCAAAAATCGCTTCTTTTAATAAAGCAAAAGCGTAAATTCATGATTTTGGCATAACACGCAAAAAAGATATATACCTACCCATGTTTTTTTAGATATTATGTTTATCAGGCTACAAAATGGGATTCTTATTAAGACTCTTTAATAAAAATTGATTTTAAATAAAATTAAATAAAATAACATTTTTTGGAGATAAATCTTTTTTGTGCATTATGGTTTTTACTATATAAAAAAAGTGATTTTTGGCTAACCCTGTATAAATCTAATGATGTGCTCTGTATGATAACAGTATTCTTTAAGTCTCGTTAACAATATACCTACTCCAATATTATAAAAATCGGTGTACTCTGTCAAAGGGAGGAGATAAACAAAAATTTAAAAAAAAATAGGAAATTTCAAAAAATTTCGAAAAGAGGTGCAGCTATAATTTTTGTAAATATCATTTTAAAGTTACCAAAGGGTCCCGAACAAGAAACTGCAATCAATAAAAATCGGTGTACAAATTGGTAGACTTTGCGATAAACAAATAATTTAAAAAAAAATAATTTTTTAACAAATTTAAAAAAAGCAGTTAGAATTTTGTTAAATATCGTTTTTAAATCTCCAAAGAGTGCCGATCAAAAAACTTTAACCAGTTTTTCGTTCAAAATGGAAAACTACTAAAAAGCTTAAATTAAACAAATTTTAAATATTCTCTAAGCGTTATTTTATTTAATTTTATTAAAAATCTATTTTTTTATAAAAGGTTAATAAGATTGCCATTTTGTAACCTGATAAACGTAGAAATATCTAAAAAAAAATGGGAATAAATCTTTTTTGCGTGTTATGGTAAAATCATGAATATAAGCTTTTGCTTTATTAAAAATAAGCAATTTTTGGCTCACACTGTATATATCAAATGATGTGAATACTATTAAAAAGTATTCTTTAAGTCTCCTCAATAAAATACTATAATTTTATAAAAATCGGTATACAAATGTGTACTCTGTCAAAGGTAGACTTTGAAATAAACAAAATTTAAAAAAAAAATAATTTTCAAAAAATTTCGAAAAGAGGAGCAGCTGGGATTTTGGTAAATATCATTTTAGGTCCCCAAAGGCTCCCGAACAAGAAAGTGCAATCAGTTTTTGGCGGCATTTTTATGTGACTTAAACTTCGTTCAGGCACACCGTGTATAATATACTATAAAAAATCTTACTGATGAAAAAATTTGAAGGAATGTTCTTTGATCATCATGCGCTATAATTTTTAAATCCTTAAACTCAGACTTTCTTATCGTCGGTCCCAAGTTTTCTGAAACCCATTTTTTCTAAAAAAAATTGTTGGATAAAACAGAAAAAACACTTTATAAGTTACACCTACCATTTGAGCGGTTGTGAATCCCAGTGAATTAAGCGGAAAAACTAAACTTGGTACGAAACCATCAACCGGTTCGTTTTGCGTGGTCAGTCCCCAAAAATTGACGCCGCTTTTTTTGTACTCTTGAAAAAATTTAATGTAATAATCAGCCCAGGTTTGGTAGTATTCGTCTTTTAAAATGCCGCTAGCGTACATGTCGGTGTTCTTCATCCAGGGCGGAGCTGTCCATGATGAAGCGAACAAATTTAAAGAGTTATTGCTTAATTTATAAGCTTTCTTAATTAAAGGAATCTAAAATAATGAAAATAATGCAATGGTTAGATTGTTTTAAAGCCTAAAACGAATTATAATTATAAAAACCTTGTAAACATGGTCTTCATTTTGCAGTGAAAAATATTTTAATTCGAGGTCGCCATCGTGATCGTCGTACGTATACTGTCTTATGGAAAAATCTGTACCACCCATTGGAACTCTACCCAAGCTGTATTGTACACCACTGCTTCCAAAGTAACTGTTTAACAAGTTTTTTTGTGCTCCTTCTGGTAAACTCTTAATGTTTATTCCTGAGGAATCAGTAAAAGCGCCCCCGAAACCAATAACTTTTTGTTTGACAGAAGAATTTTGCAAATCTATTTTGTATCCGAAATTTGTGTTACTTGATGGCTAGAATATTGTAAAATTTACAACTTTTAATAAATATCACTAAAACATGTTTAACCTTTAATGTTCCAGAACTGGCCGTAAACCCCATTTTATTAGAGCTAGTACTAAACATTTGAAATTTTCCTGTAGAAACATCTATTTCAGGAACTGTGTCACATTTACTGGAGTCGCAAACACAAACGTAACCGTAATCGGTTTTCTTTTGGTTACATTCATGGTAACCTTTACAATAGGTAAAAAGTAAAATAAAGAAAATGTAAGTAAGTAGCACCATTATATTTGTGAAGTAACAGCTTAACTACAAGCTTGAGTACTTGTTGTTGGTTTTTATATAATTATCAGTTATACCTATTAAAAATAAATAATGCGTATATTGTTTAAGTAAATTTTTGTTTGTTTGTAATATTTTGTAGTAATATTTTAATTAATACAAACAAGTTAAAAGCTCACATGAGTAACTACATTATTAAGTAAAAAAAAATGAAATAAATTTAATTCTGCGTCCCTAAAATATTATATACCGGGTGTATCTGAAAAGAGGCACACCCCTGTAACTTTTTTATTTATAAAGATGGATACATGAAATTTTGCATGGTTAATTAGGATATAAAATGCCACTCTTATGCTATATATTTAGGAATGATTCTTAAACAATTATGTACATTGGGTATTTTAGAAGTGAGCGTTTTTTTGTTAGGTAATGATTCTTAAACTATCATTACTAAATACAAAAGCGCTCACTCTCAAAATACCTAATTTACTTGTTTAGTAAAGATATAGCAATATTTACTACATTTTTAATCTTATATGTACTTCTTAAAGGTGAAAAACTTTCCCAATGCGAATTTATCGGCTTGCCATTTCTTGTTCTGCATTTTTCCCAGTAAAATTTTATTTATATATTTTATTTTAATCTTTGTTGTAACGCCTCGGTATAATTGTGGCTTGTAGGTGTTTAATGGTTTTTATTCGTTTTGGCCGCGGTATCGCATAAAAGAAGGTGCTTAATCGACCCGGAGGAATGCATATGGCTTTTATTGGCCCGCCCCTTTACGTACAACGTTTAATTCGCATCAAAGGGTGAGGTTGAAAAACCGACACCTTTAAAACGACTACACTTTATGGCTTTGATCATAAAATTCTATTTTTCTGTCTGCGATCAGATGCATCCTAAGATACATATGGGTGGGTGTATACATTTGTTCTTTTTTAATCACTACACGAAGAATTTTTAAATATTGTACTTATTGCTATAACTCTAGGAGAATTTACTTAAAACCATTTTGTAATATTATAAGGACTTAACCATTACTAAGCATTTGACTACTGTTTGACAACTATTAATATTCCGTTGGGTATAAATTGTTAAAATTTATGCATCCTATAGGATTTATAAATATTGACATTTTATTTTATAGTAACGTATCATAATTAAGTTAACAATTAATTTTTTTTTAATTTAGAATAAATAACAATATTAGTTTTAAGTTGTATTAAAAATGTTTACAATATATTAATAAATGGTGGTATTTAATAAAGTTTGGGAATTATTACCAAATAGGAATGTTGCTTTTCTATATAGTTGGCAATGCATTTATGGTTTGTCATTATTATATACATATTATGTCATTTATGCCTTATGCCATTCGCTCGATATTTCCCATATTATTAAGTACATTTTGTTGGTTATAACAAAATATCGTTTAATCATGTATTTTTTCATCATTTCTAAATCATTCCTAAAATACCAAAGCTGGGTTTTTAGTAACCATTCCCAAAACAGTTATTTTCTTGTTTTATGTAGTTTTAGTGATATTTTTATTTAAAACGATAATTCTTTAAAAATGTTTTAAATTTAATTTACTTTATTTTTTTATAATAATTTTCCCAATCCATAAAAAACAAAACATAATATGTAGTATACTAAAATGTTTATCAACATTCAAAAATAACAAAACAAAAAGCCCGCAGTGGCATCTACACCTACACACATATATATGTATATACAATGTATTATATGTATTATACATATACATATACAGTGTTGCCCATAATTTTTGTAACCACTGTAAAAAAAATCTAATTCTAAAACGCCTTAATTATTCTTTATGAAATTTTGGATAAAAATACTTCAACTTCAGTTTACGTGTTCGAGGGTTTTTCGAGAAAATATTTTTAAATTCCTGTTATTTAATAATGAAAAAACGTTCAAAAAATAACTTTAAGGGTTATTTTTTATTTAAGTAAATAAAGACCGTATTTTTGTTAGTATACCCTGAAAATTTTGTACAAAAATGACTCCTTTTTGATTATTTTGCTGAAAAGTGGTCATTTTTGACGACTTTGAATCGCTGTATCTTCGTTGCTGTTCATTTGATTTGTACAAAATTTTCAGGGTATACTAACAAAAATACGGTCTTTAACAGCATATTTTTTATTTACTTTTTTAAAGGTCGACGACTGGAGGTGTCCGAAGAAGAATTATTATTTGTCGTGAACAACAAGGGCGGCATTTTGAACAATTACTTTAGTTTGCTTTATTTTTCAATATAATTTTTTAAATTTTATATTGTGTATTTTTGTAAAATTGTGGATGCTTTGAAAAAATAACCAAAACGTGTATACTAAAAATGAACTTTTTAACATTAGAATTTTTGGTAATACAGACATTTTAGTCAGTCACTCCAAGTGTCAATTTTTTTTTGAAAAAATTAAATATCTCAAAAACAAATGAAGATAGGAAAACGAGTTAAAATGCAACTGCTCCAGAATTTTACGTAGAATTCTAAAATGCAATAATATTTATACGGTATTGAAAAAACAAAGTTAATGTCTTTTCCGTTTAAACCGGAAGTAACTCGCATTAAAAATATTTTAGAAAAATAGATCCCATCGCACCATAGCTGCAACCAAAATTTCAGATTGATGTCTCTTTTAGTTCTCTATAAACCCCTAATGAATCAGTTAGGTGAATCACCCTGTATATATAAATAACTTTCTGCAAAAATCTATATCTGGTATTACAGAATATTTTAATAAAATCTTATATTAAATATAAGATTTTATTAAAATATTCTATATATACTATTTTTTTAAAGCATTTAATTAAATAATTCTTTAAAAATGTTTTAAATTTAATTTACTTTATTTTTTTTATATAATTTTTCTAATCCATAAAAAACCAAACATATGTAGTATATTCTAAAATGTTTATTTTTTTTAATTCGGAAATATTTATTTTTTTTATTTCGGAGGCGCGTTCTTCACAAAATATTATAGCACATATTTTCGCCGAGCATACATATATATGACACAAATTTGTGATGGAAAAGAGCAAACTTTAAAGAAGTTACTTTATTGAGTGAAAAGTACTTCCTTTAAGGTTAGAAAGTCTATCTGACAAATCTCAGATTTTATAGTGGTATAAATGTTAGACAGGGTGTTTCCTTTTATTTTTTTTGCCATTTTAAATGCCAATGATTTTCGACTATAAATATTTCACACTGTATGATGCGGAATATTATTCTCAATGTTGTAGAATAGCCAGGGTATACTTATTTAAGCACCATATCATTCGACTCACGTGTGTTTTGTCACAAGTGTGCTTTGGATGCATCCAATTTGAAACCATGGTTTCAAATTTTATATTTGACAAATAATTAGGTTAGATGAATCACCCTGTATAATGTTGTGCATAGTTTTTAATATTAATTTCAAGAGCCTTAAAATTACCGTATGTTTCCCATACATTTGTTAAACACCTTATCCAATAATGCTATGGGTATTTGCAAATGTATACAAGATGGTAGAATCTTGCTGTGCAAGATTAAGTAACATCATTATTTATTTAAAGCAAACATCGGTCTCGTACTATTATTATCGCTCCTCTTCTCGTAAATTAACCGCTGTACTTAGATAATTGTTGGTTATGTTCGGCAAGGCAAGCCAAAGCAAATCCATAGCGACCAAATAAATAAGAACATACGGGCAAAACTGTCGATGATGGGTAATTAAAAGCCAGCACCACGGCCAATCGCTTACTTCGATACGATTGCGCCAGAGCTCTGGATTATTCAGTTCAAATGGTGAATGGTAAACCAATATGTTTTTATTTTTTATTACAGGAAATTATACATTAAATTTTCTTAGTTTCTTCAAAAAATTGTCTTGACCCATTTCTGATATTATTTAAGAGGAATTGAACCTTCACCTCGCTAAAGTTCATATAAACATAGGTCCGGAAATGCTCCGTTTTCAACTTACAGTCAAAACTTAAATCATGTTTTTCCAAATATCTCAATAATCATTTAGCCGATTTTGTTGAAATTTAATAGTGTTATTAAGGGTAGTAAGGGGCTAATTTAGCCCTAACTAGATTAAAATTATTAATAAGTTCAGTGGCGTCCACAAAGACACCTGAATCAATATTTTTACAAAATACAAGGCCTACTATGTCACTTTTTAAGAGTAAATTTTTAAGAATTCATATAAGCGATTTTTTTAAACAAAATCTAAGCACGGCACTGGATTCACCACCCCTCAAAACGACCCTATACTAAATTTTATTGAAAAATTTTAAGTAAAAAAATGCACAATAATAACTACAAAAATGTATTCTGTTAAGTTATCCATAAAAAAACATTGAAATAAAATTAAACTTATAGTAATAGTACCATGTATGCGCATTAAGAAAAAAGATACGAAAAAATATTTCGAATAAGCGGTGTATGTATGTGGTTCCACAACACCAAGTTGCCCGACACTGATGATACCCAATATAGGTCGAAACAGCTGTTTGTCGGTATTTGAAGTTGGTGGAACGCACTCAAATAAAAAACTGGCGAGTGAAGGTTCAATTTCTCTGGTAAATTAAACTTATTTTAAAACTGTACAATGATAATGATGATGATGATTATATCCAAAGAATTTTTTTAAATTTTAAAATACATAATATTTAATTATATTATAATTTTAATAGAACAAGTAATTATAAATCATTTATTTAAAAAAAAATATTCACATATTTTTGTATTACTAAACGAGTAAAAGTTTAAAGTTTAAATTTAAGTTGATATCCATTAATTGGCAGATACAAAGTGTCCCTGGAACGCAGTTCGTTTTCATTAACGCCCTATTTTATGTGTTTTTTATTGATGACCAACGAAGACCTCAATCCCTAAAGCCACTAAATATAAGTCCCATGGCACACGTTCTCGACGATCGTGTTCCCTTGCTCCATCCCACTAATGAACATCCTCGAGTCGATTAAAGTGGAACATAAACTATTAATTCCTATTTATTTATTATTT